GTTCAGACATTTCGATCATTTTGTGCAACAGCAGATGGCTAAGAAAGCGCTGCCATGGTATGGAAATAAAACAAAGGCTCCCTTACAAACTATAGATTAAATTTTGCATTGAAAAGTCTCTGACTTCTTATCCTTCCTGGTTTTGCAAATGTTTTTATGCATTTCTAGGACACAGTTTTCATTCATATTTTCCTGATATACCTGGTTCAGCTGAAAACAGAAGCGGCTTCTTTGGTGTGACAAATCAAACTGAGCAATTGTGTCACTTTGATACCAGGGATCCTTGTTACCATCAGTAAGGGCTGCCCTTCCTGATGGTTATGATTGTATATTTTGTCCTGCAATTTCACTTTCTGAATTTTTTTTTTGTTTCCCGTTGCCTGTGATGGTTGTTTCAAATCTAATTTAAATTATGGAAGTAGTTTAACAAAAGAATCTCAACTAGCCAATTTCTTTCTAGCAGTAACTGACCTTGCCATTAGTAAAATGGGAGCACCCTCAGCTCTTCTTTATTTCCCACAGGAAATGATGATCGACAGAGATGAATTCAGATATTTTCCCTGTACTCCCATGCCAACACTATCCAAACTGTGCCTGGATTTGGCTGCTTTCCTCCAGGGTTGGTGAGGGGTTCTGTTCTCTTTATCCACCTTCTGCTACCCCAGCAGCATCAGCGTGGGTTGTGATCTGGGCCCACTTCTTGAGGACAGAACTTGTGAATGTGGTCACTCCATAGGCATTAGTTAATCAAATGTCTGAGCACTGTCAACTACAGCTAGAATTAATTTGAGTTTTAAAAGGCTTTTATATGAAATGCTGATAGCCTTCACGGCCAGCTACTGTTCACTTTTATATTTAACCTTTGAAATGTCCACCACTGACAAAACAAAACAAAGCTTACAAAAAAGTGAAAATTTCTCTAAGTGCTGTCATGATGTCAGATTTCACAGACTTTGCAATGTAGAGCTAGTTTCATTTTTCCTTTGATGTTCTAAAATAATGTTTAGATCTCGCCATACATACCCTTGTTCTAAGAATGCAGTGTAGTTGGTGAACAGTTTATATATAACGTGAGAGTTATGCTTGGGAAAAAATGACATTTGGGTTGTTGGAAAACTTTGTTGAAGAAGGGTTGTGTCTGCCTCTGCCGCCTTAAACAGCAGAAGCTTTAGGGGTATGTGGTCATAAGACTTTCTGTGATTAAAATCAGATATATTTTTGCTTCCAAGCTCACATGCTAAGCCCATCCACATGGGCATAATGCCTTTTTACAACTGGCTTCCTTCTGTAACCCAGAGATTCGCAATACCTATGGTTTTAAGATTTCGGTATTGGGTTTGTGTGGCAAGGTCTTGGTAGCAGCGTGGCTACAGGGGTGGCTTCTGTGAGGAGCTGCTAGAAGCTTCCCCTATGTCCAATAGCCAACGCCAGCCGTCTCCCAGACGGACCCACTGCTGGCCAAGGCTGAGCCAGCCAGCGATGGTGGTAGTGCCTCTGGGTAACATAGTTGAGAAGGGATGGGGGGGGCGGGGAATGACTGCTGCAGAACTGCAGCTGGAGGAGAGAGGGGTGAGAATATGTGAGAGAAACAACTGTGCAGACACCAAGGTCAGTGAAGAAGGAGGGGGAGGAGGTGCTCCAGGCGCTGGAGCAGAGATTCCCCTGCAGCCCATGGTGAGGCAGCTGTGCCTCTGCAGCCATGGAGGGTAATGGTGGAGCAGAGATACACCTGCAGCCCGGGGAGGACCTCACGCTGGAGCAGGTGGATGCCGAAGGAGGCTGTGACTCTATGGGAAGCCCTGGAGCAGACTCCTGACAGGACCTGTGGACCCATGGAGAGAGGAGCCCAGGCTGGAGCAAGTGGGCTGACAGGATGCTTGATGGGTTTGTGATGAACTGCAGCCCATGGGAAGGACTCACGTAAGAGAAGTTAATGGAGGACTGTCTCCTGTGGGATGGACCCCACTCTGGAGCAGGGGAAGATTTGAGGAGCCCTCCCCTGAGGAGGAAGGAGCGGCAGAGACAACGTGTGATGGACTGACCACAACCCCCATTCCCTGCCCCCCTGCACCGCTCTGGGAGAGGAGGTAGAGAAATCGGGAGTGAAGTTGAGCACAGGAAGAAGGGAGGGGTGGGGGGAAGGTGTTTTTAAGATTTGGTTTTATCTCTCATTACCCTACTCTGATTTGACTGGTAAGAAATTAAACTAATTTACCCAAGTCAAGTCTGTTTTGCCTGTGACAGTAACTGGTGAGTGTATCTCTCCCTGTCCTTAACCCACGAGCCTTTAGTTATATTATTCCTCTCTCTTGTCCAGGTGAGGAGGGGGAGTGATAGAGCAGCTTTGGTGGACACCTGGTGTCCAGCACAGGTCAACTCAGTACAATTTCAATACTGTATCTTCAAATTTGTCTCAAATGTTTGTCTTTTTTTTTTTTTTTAATTAGATGTCCATTTTAGAAGCTCCTACATGATGTAGTAGACAGTAATTTGTTGTGCCGTAATTTTCAATCCTGTGATGAAATTCAAACTTGCTTAAGAAGAATATAATTTTGTAACAAATCATAGAATTAATTTCCTTGTATACATCAAGTTGCAATGACTGTTTAAGCTTTTTTAGTTCCTGTAGTTGATGGATAGTTGATAATGTCCAATTTTCTGTTACTGCTCAAAGGTTCTTGCAAGGTAATGTTTTCAACTTAAACATCTTCTGAAAGATTTTTTAACTTCATAAATTGTTTCAGGATACCATTCTAGAATATTTTTGTCCTGTTTGGATTTAAAACAAATAGTTATAAAAATCACTGCCAATTTTCAATATCTTCCAGCAAATTTTAGTAAATACTGGTTTTTCACTGAGCAGATTGGTTGTTAAGGAAAAGATTGTGTTGCGTCTTCCAAGAGCTCCTGATTTTAAATTTAAAATAAATTGATCTATATCTGAGTGGAAAAAAAAGACTTGATATATAGGAAACTACTTGAATTAAATGCTCATTTTGACATTTTGCCAGTCGTGGGAATTTGCACATGCTCTGGGCTGAGTTAAGATATTAAAACGAAAATACTACAGTAAAATGAAACACGAGGAAAGGTTAGGCTTGACTTTGTAAGTTATCATGTACATTATAGCAAATGTGTGGTTTCTCTGTTCTTCACTTTCCTTGTATAAGTTAATAGTATGTCTGAAAGCAAAGGCATTTTGATACAGCTCTGGGTTCCCTGGCATTACAGAATTCTCCTACTTTTTCCATTAGTCTCAAATTATCCTCTCCCTTGTAAAGCAGCACTTCTGGGTGATATCCATAAGGGAGGAAAATTAGAGCTGAACGGATGGATTCTATTTCATTTGTTACCGATTTCATGACAGATAATACCTTGATAGAAAACTATAGGGTCACACAGAATTACTTCTTGCTCGTTTCTAAGTAATTTAATTGACGTCACTTTGAGGGAGGGAAAAGGCTTGTAATATAAGAGGTTTTTTTACATTACTCTCTTAAAGAATACCTTTTGGCTTTAGTGTATGCTACAGATTTGGCTGAACAGAGAAATTACAAACTTTTTAACATATATATGCTTGAAATTTTTTCTGTAGCTTCTCATTACTGATTTTAGTTTTTTTCTAAGCAAAATAACTGTGGTCTTTTCTGGGTTTGTTTTTTTCCTCTTTAGAGAGTACCTAAAGGTATGACAGTAACTTGTGTATGTGAGAAAGATTACAAGTCGTGTCTAGCTTTGAAGACCCATTAGTAAAACAGTTGCATATTGACATCTTGTGAGACAAAGGGACTACAGTTGAATTTGGGCTTGAGGGAAAGCATTGGATTTGTGTTAATTAAAACACTTTATGAAAAGTAATCCAAATTAATATTTTGGAAACAAAGGATTTTGAGAAGTGTTGAGCATCTCTGACCTTACAGTCAAGGTGATAAAGTTCACTAGAGGCATCACTGCAATCGCTATCAGTCCCCTGGGAAAGTTAATACCTGACATTTCTAAAACACAGCTTTATTTTTTTTGATACTTGCAGTCATTCCTTGTCCTTAATATGGGACTGGAAGAGGTACAAGTCCTCTGTCACAGCCCTTCATTTTTCCAGTGCACTTCTACAAGGATTTTTAATACCTTTTGTAATTTTCTTTTCCTTGACTTCAAAGGAGAAATTGCAGGCACTTCTCAAGTTTGTTTGGGATTGTTTGTTGTTGGTAACTGGCAAGGGGCCGAAGTGCCAATGTACTCTGGGTTTTGGGGGTTTTCTTCAGCTTTGTCTTTTTTCTTTTTTTTTTCTCCCTAGTACCTCATGAGGAATATAATCAGCTGTTAATGTTCAGTGTAATGATACAGTCATTAAGAAAAGGATCTGTGTGGAATCTGTTGGCAGCTCCACATACTTTGTGTTGCTCTTTTTTAGCAGAAAATGAAAACGTTCTTTGTTGAAGCTGCTAGCATATTTATTCTGATATTTTTTTCTACACATCCCCAAAATAATGCTCTCCTTTATTTTGCACCTTGGCACCAGGAGTTTTGTTACTCACCACATGTCATGTTATCCTGTGCTGGACCGTTAACTTCTGTGAGCTGACACAGCTGCAGTTTTGGTGTTTTCATGTTAGCCTTTGTTTCATTTTCAGGAGAACTGTCTTACAGATGATATTGGCATATCTACATGGAAGGAGCAGGTTTTCCTGTCCCATAGTGCCTTGCTAGCAAAGAGCTGCCAGGCTGCAATGGAGCTAGCAAAGCACAGTGCTGAGATTCAGGATATGGCATTTCAGTATGGAAAGCACATGTCTATGAGTCATAAGGTATGCCTTTTCCTTTCATTTTGGGATCTTAAATACAGAAAGACTTGTAAGATTTGTTGCTCTTGGGTTCTGTTGTATACTGCCACTATGCTGTAGACTTTTGCCAGCAGGTCAGTGGTGTTGAGAGATTTGACGGCTGCCTGGTGTGAAGGTGTTTGCAGAAACTGCTGGTATGAACTGAAGCAGTTCAGTGCTTATGAACTTGCAAAATCACAATTCTGGCAATGGAGCTTATTTAATTCAAGGCTCTGTTAACATCCCTCTAGCTCATCTTTCTGTAGCACCTTAAAACTTTACCTTCTCTGCTTCTACGTTCTTCCTGAAGTCACTGTCCCTGTAGCAGGAATTCCAGGAGAAAGCATGTGTTGGGTCTCAGCTGCCACCATGCAGAGATTTGTACCGAGAGGCTCAACTGCCTGCAGCAGCACACAAGGCTGAGGCGTGAGCTGCAGTGGCTGAAGGACCTGCATACGTTCCCTTCTGAATAATCTGCTGTGGAGGTAACTTCCAGAGGAGGTAGTTGGGGGATAAGGAGGGAGGCCACTAGATATGGACAGAAGCAGCCTACACCTCTGCAGCAGTAGGATTCCCAGAGAAGGCCTCATTAGAAGTGTTTCAGTCCACAGCTAGAGTTAGTCCAAAGGAAAACATGTATATTGTGGCACTTTAGTCCTTGGCACTCTTGTTTTGCCCTAAAGATCTGCTCCTACTGTATTGCAGTACTTGTAAGTAGCTTGAGACAGGCAGACAGACCTCCCATCCCCTTCAGCTGAGCTGGTTCAGACAGTTTCTAGTTCCTCCAGGAGAAGGAAGTGGTTTTATAAAGCACAGCTTTACAGCCGTAGAAGTGCCACTATACGCTCTTACTAACTACAACTCTACCAGCCGATTGTTTGTAGTGCAGACTATAGCCTTAGTATTTTGTGTATGCTTTGATATCTATACATTCACCATATAGCTGACATATAGCTGGGTATAAAGGATTACATAATTTTCCTAGAAAGCTCCTAGCTATGTAACCCTTCCTTTGTCAGAAGGAGGGTCATATTGCTTCACCTTCTTCAGGTACTGAAAAGTAGAGTGTATTGCCCTTCACAGATTAGAAATTTATATTCTTCCTACAAAAGACTGGATCGTTCTTTCCTTTATATTTTTTCTGCTTCCTGACACTCGACAATTGCCTACCTGGCTGTGTCCCATCACTTGCCCAGCTCTGCAAGCTGTCCTTTACCTGTCTGTTTGCAGATTCTTTATGTGCTGCTTACCGCAACTTTCTGCCACTGCAATGCTTCTTCCTCTTCCACTCCCAACTTGAAAAAGTGCAACATGTGCAACAAGCATGCATGTCAAAGCGGAAAGTGACGAGTAGGTGTAGAATCAGGATATGGACCTTGATTTGGTGAGCGGGTAGAAATGTACAGACTGTTCCTGGGAACTGAAGAAAGATGTTCTTCTCTTTCAGCTACATTCAGACCTTCAGCCATTTGTTAAAGAAAGTTCTAGTGACACCACGGCCTTCAGTTTGAATTCTGCTCCTGCAGTCCTCCATCAGGAATTCCTTGGAAGGGAGGCATGGATTAAACAGATCAGAGAGGTAAATTAAAGACTGTTTAGAATTTCCTGGTTTTGCCATTTGTATCTCTCTTCCTATCTATACTTTCAATCTGCAAAGAAACTTGGAGACTTACAACAGATAAGACAACTTAGAGGTTACCTCTGCTCTCCAATACTTAGCACCTCTCTTGTCCATTCTTTCACAAGGGGGAAATCTAGGGACCTGACAGTTGAGCTCTGTCAGACTTCTGCATGTCAGTGTAACAAGCAGATTCATTTGGATGGAGCATGTCTGTTCCTCTGCACTACTCGTGCGGTCTCACGTCTTAGCTTAAAGCTGCTTTTACTGGCAGCTTAAAGCAGAGAACTTTGCTTTACAGTGGTTGAAAGGTAGGCACACATTTCCTTCTGCCAACTTGGCAGCAGTCATTTTGGATAACGGGAAAAGATCCTGGGGAATTTGGCTTCCTGACCACTACAAAATATTTGTGAGATCTGTCTGGTTGATGTCCTTAGTTCTCTTAATGCAGCTGTCTTCTCCTCTATCCCTTAGATGAAGGCAGTAAGAATAAGATAGCTGTGTGGTGTAGATCTGTTTTACGAACTATGTAGCACAGCAGGATTCAGATCTGTATGTTTGTTGAAACACAAATAGACAACTGTACAAGACAGGAGGGAAAGAAAAAGGGAAAAACACCACAAATGGCCAAAATTAAGCATTCTGTTGTTCCTGCATCAGTTGGACATGTTCTGCCTGTCTAAACAGCTGTGATGAGGACTGTTCAGAAATCCCTGCAGTTTTTATAGAGATTCTTCAGTTAAAAGGCTGCTGCCTTCAATAAGAAGCTAGCTCTCTGCAAGCATGTTTATTTAAGACGTGCTTGCTGATGGCTCCTTTCCTTGCTGGTTTGAAAGAAGGACTCTTGGGCAGAGGGCATGGAGTCTGAGCCTCTGCCTAGTTCTGTGTTCATGATGGCCACGTTCCAGCCTGCCTTCACATACTGCAAGCAAGAGGCATAGTCTCTTCGGCAGGGAAATTTTGGGAAGTATATGCAGAATCTGCAGCCTCAAAGTGGTATGGAGTTGGGGGATCTTCAAGTGAAGCAAACCTTTTGTCATTTTGAAATTAGGGGCTGGTAGTTTATAACGTGTGATGAGGAATTTTAGAATTCTATAGTCTCAACACAAGGCTTATATGCAAGTTGAATGTAAATGGATTTGGATGATTGCAGTTGGAGAGTAATAGTGTTACCACAGCACAGTGGATAAAAGCTTTGAAACAATTTCCCATCTGCAGAATCTAGAGGAGTTTGTGGGGCTCCAGGAGTGCCATCTGTCTGCTTACTAATTCTCATTATGGAAAATGGGCATTATAGAAACCATGAAGCAGTTCTCTCTGAAGGATGGGGGCAGGGGGGAAAGGTGACATGCACTATGTGAAAGTATCTGCTAACTACTGCCTTAGCTAAATACAAAGTGGAACACCTCATCCAGGAGCCTTTCTTGGCTTGTGTTGATTAAGAAAGAAAAGTTACCTCTCATTAACTACAAGCTCTTTGAGATATCATCCATAGTCACATTCACTATGTGACGTTCGAGATAGGCCAAGCACTCAAACCAGAGACCTTCCCATGTTGGCAGTACTCTTAAGAGGATGCTTATAAGCCACCTTCTTGTGCAGTGTTATTTGTATGGTATAAATAGGCAAAGCACGCACAGTGCACTCTGGCCCCGTCAGGTAGTATTTCCTTAGTAGCTGACTAGGCATATGGGGAAATCACACTATGGACCTGTAATTATTGCTAAATAATCTGGCTTTCTCCTTTGATTGTTTGCCCATATAAGCATTCATACAATGAGTTGAAGGCAGCAGCTCCCCAGGCAGCTTCCTCCTCCTGTGGGAAGGTCCTGGAGTTCCAGAAAGTGGAAGCAGAGAGCCCCATCGCACCTGGTAACCTCTGCAGTGGTGTACTGCTCAGAAGGCATGTGGGTCGGACTCAGTGTCTGTCAAGCGTATCTTAGATGAAGGCAGTCTTCAGAAAGGTCATGAAGGATGCCTGAACTGCTGTGGCATGCCCAGAACCTGTGTGATTGTTTCACCGCAGTTCTCTTGCCAGAAGTCTGGACAAAGTCATGTGCATCTTTCTGCTGCTGAGCTGAAGATCTTTTAAAAGCCTCCATGTCCCTTCATTTGAAAGGAGCAAAATACATCAGATATCCAGGTGTGGAAGGTTGCATCAACGCTGAGTATATGTGTTTTCAGAAGATTAGATTCCAATTTGGATTAAATTGAAAAATTAAAGTTAAATCAAAATTCTCTGGGTTAAATGGCATCCAGCATCTTTGATGTTCAGGAGGAAGGCTGAGCTGAGTTGGCTGTTCATGTCTCTAATATATATGCTGATAAGCAGGTGCTTTTTTTTTGAGGGCCCAGAGCCCTGACACTCAGCAGCTGAGCTCCCCAGCCAAGCAATGAGATCTAGAAAGTTATCCAGGTTTGACAAGAGTGCATACCTTTTGCAAATCAGGCTTAATGCCTTTGAGGAAGCTAAGCCAGATGCAGAAGTCTGATGTAAAGGGGAAAAAAAAAATCTCTATGTGTGGAATCAGGGTCAGTAAAAGTCAAAGAGCCAAACTACTGTGAGGATAAAAAGAAAGAAAACAAGCAAAGGTGCAGCCGTAGTAAAGAAGATGTAGGTAACAGAATAGGTAAGGTTGATACTTGGAGAAGCACAACTGCCACTGACTTGAATGCTTGAGAGGAACAGTGCATGAGAAAATACTCCTGCTGTTTGTAATGTGTATTATATGCAAGAGGAGGCATGCTGAGCACACCTCTTCTGGTATTGCTAAAACTAAAATAAAAGCATCTTCCTCAAACATGTTGGCAAATTCTCTGCTGCAGTATGAATCTGCATATGGGCAATTATTTTGTTAAAGAGCATATTTCTGGTATGTTCTGATATACAATGTAACTACTAGATTTATCTTGAAGAAGCTGTAAAATCCAACCAGTATGAATAGAAGTTGGCAAATCAAGGAGATAGGAATACACAAACAACGAAGCAGTTATTGGCAGTGGTTTTACTACTCCCAAATGCTATCAGGCGGTTTTCTTAGTATGCATTCCAGAAAAGCGGACTCCTAAGAAGCTTAGAGAGTAGTAAAGAGGTTTTGTGAATCAGTCCCCTTTCTGCTTCAGTGAAATCAGTTTTGTTATCTACTGTTTTCCTTTCTGTTCTGCTTGCTTAGGCTCTCCTTGGTTCTTTTCTCTATTTTATTTTTCCTCCCTTACAAAAATTAATTTATTTTCCAAATCTGTGCCATCTTAGCAACATCTCTTCAAAGCTGTGCTTGCCACATAGTGTTCCTCTTCAGTGCAGGCCTCTGCTCTTCTCCTTATGCCAGTTGACCTGCTCAGGTCATATTATAGGGTATATGTATTTGCTCCTTAAGTCAAGGGTGATACTGATATTAAATACAATTCTACACCAAAAGCATCTAGGTCTAATAGCACTGACATGGTCCTTTTGGGAGCTCTAGACTATTACCTGTGTGCAAATCACTATAGATATACAGAGAGTTCTCTTTTAAGAAAATAAAACCTGTTACTGCTGATATGAACTATAGTTTATTTCAGAATCTCATGGGAGAGATTAATTAATGCAAACAGCAAGATTTCTTAAGACCAAAACATTTCAGATTCAACAAATGTTTAACTACAAGTCATAATAAAAAACTTAAAAATTACATTGAGTATCTGCAGCTCTTGTCTGAAACAGAGCCATGTTGTATAAGCTGGTAACACATTTGGTTGTATTTTAGGTTTTCCGTATCAGATTCCTAAAGAAAGTTGGTTATGTTTAAAGTAATAGCTCTTTTAATTGCATTCTTTATTCTTGCAACTCTAGTTTTTAGTATGTATGCCTTATATAAAATCTCTTCTTCTCTTTAAGGCACAAGGAAAAGGAAATATAATGGACTACAAGAAGGTTAGTAAACCACATTTAAATCTCCTTATTTTTAATTTTTTTGTAATATTTTCAAGGATATTCTTGACAGTTGAGAGAAACTTCCTTATTAAAGTGAGGTTATAATTTGTCACGTACATATGGAGGGTGAGAGAATGACTTGTGAAATTTCCTGATTTTAAAAAGCCAGTAATAGTCAGCTGTACTGTATCAAATGTAGCTATTTAATAAGCATTTTTGCCATTATTTTTCCCATTTACTTCCCCAAATTTGGTTTAGAAACCAGTCTTCTGATGGTTTTTGCTGTCATCTTTTCCTGCAGTCATTTGCAGGTTAGCTCCCATCAGTGGTCTCTGTCTACTGATAGAGTATGCTATTACCTTTTTCTTTTTAATCTCACCTTAATGCCATGCCATCTATTACATGTTTTGTAATAATTTGTGTTTCTTCCAGTCCCCATTACAACTTTAGCTGAGTCACCCCTATATTTGCTACTGGGACTGCTCTGTAGTAAAGGCAGACATGAACTAACAGCTTGTCTACTGCAAGTAGCTGGGGCACCATGAAGCTCTTAGGGAGCTGCAGGAGATGGCTGAGAAGGTTCCCCTGGTTAAACACTGGAGCACAGCATGCCTGTGGTGGAGACGGAAGATGACGTATCCCTGAGCCTGAGCCTGACTTGGTCTGAGTCTTAAGTAGATCATGAGGGTCCAGTTAGTTATCTCCAGCATCAGTGGGAAATAATATCTAAATTATCAAGCCACACGCATGATTGAGAATTGCTTGTTAACTGGGGCCTGAAGAGTGTTAGAACTATGACTGATTGCTGCTAGTATGGAAAGTTAACACACAAGTACAGGTCAGACTTTTATTATAATTATTCTGTATTAGGAAAATTTGTACTTTGGATTATTAAAAAAAGCTCTCTGTCCTTCCTTCCTCTTAGAACATAAAAAGGATCTCAACCTTAGCTTGCTACTTAAAATCATTGTGCTTTTAGTTTTTTTCTACACCTGAATAAAAGGAAAGGAAGGGGGAAAAGCCCTTCAAGATTTGTCTTTTGAGCAATTGACTTCATACAGAAAGCACATTTTACTAGCTCTGGGTAATCATCTCTTACACAAGCACAAATATTATGAGTTTAGTAATGATAGTGAAAAATTCTCCCTGGTTTTTTGAGCTCAAACAATAATCAACTTTGTTTTATGTAGAAGTCAGTTTCAAAACTGTGATGCCACGTCGCTCTCTTCTATGTTTCTTCATTTAAAATAGAAGTGGTCATTAGTTACATCCATGCTAAATGAACCCAGTAACCTGTAGCTCACCCCAGCGTAGTAGCTTGGCCCGTACATGCACACAGCCAATTAGAAGGCATGGTGTGCAGTACAAATTAGTATTGCTTTTTTTGCCCTTTGCTGTGTTTTCTTTATTTCTGCATCACTAGAGTCGGTGTTTTGCACGTTGCTCAGTCTTTTCGTCTCAGCATCAAGGTCCCTCTCATCTTTCTATTCAGTTGCTAGAATTACTTTAATGTTCCTAATCATATTAGAGGGTTTGTTTCTCATTGAGTCTCCAAAAGATTTCCTCTTTAATTTTGTAAAAGTGAAGGTCACCAACACTAGCTGTTGAACTTCTGAAAATTTGTATTATTTTTGTTATGAACTTCAGCGTGCCAATTAGTTGAGATAAAAATGTTGTTCCTTTAGTTGAATTCATAAATGTGCGTACACAAAAAAGTTGTTAGCTGTTTAGCCTGCTTAAGAATATTTGACCTTACTCTCTGTGGCTTTCAATTAAAATAATGAATGAAGGTAAATTTGAGAAATTGAGATCCACCCATTTAACATCCCTCCTTAAAAGGCAAAGGTCTCATTTCATTTTGGTTTTGAGACTGCTCAAGTATTTTGAATTCTTCTTTTGATGCATGTTATATTAAAATGGTATCCCTGATTTTTTTCGCTGACAAAAAAATATCTAGATGGTACTAGTAAATTTAATGTGGGCTCCGACATAAACATAGAAGTTAAATACTTGCTATTAATTTAATTAGGTCAGAGACTGTCATGTCAATAAGGTCACTATGTTCTGCAGAATTCTTTGGTATTTTTTTTTCTCCCAGCTTTTCTCAATCTTTTTATCAGAAGGACTTCGATATCACAAAAGACTTATTTTAAGGTCTGTGTCTAGTTATTTAATTATTTGTTTTCTCACATTAGTATCTGAATATTTCGCTCTTTCTTTTGTGCACCATCACACTGCATCGAGACAGATTATTGAAACATCACTGTGGTGTTTGAAAGTGTCTTCCGGAGATGAAAAAGTAGTTTTAACTTTGCTTTAGTGGTGTTTCTCAGATAACAAAAGAGAAAGTATCAACATATGGCAGGGACAAAATTCATATATATCATTGAAAGAGGCAGTAACTTTCCTGTCACCCTCGTGTGTTAGGGGGAGAATTTTGGCAAAAATCTCAGACTTTTTACAATCAAAAAGCTTTTATCCATTTTACATCCACTTTGCATGCAAGATAAGCTGTGTAACTGGGAAACAAGAACTTGAGATTCTCAATTTAATTGTTACTATTTTATAATATAGATTTAAAACTTTCCACCGAAGTCAAGGCCTTAATGGTGCTTGGCGTTATACAGACTTGTTAAATGAGTGTAACAAAGGCACAATTAGTAGCAGAAATGAGTAAGCTAGGAGTAATTCTTGTTTTCTGGCCAAGGCTCTGGAAAAATTATAAGAGAAGGCTAAATAAAGAAATAAATCCTGTATTTTGCACCCAGTGAGTATGCTACTGCAAGGATTTGGGTTTTTCTAAATGCAATATTCAGAAAAGATAAATTGCTTCAAGTGAAAGAGCAAAAACTATTTTTTTTTTTTACTGTAGCCCTGTCCATTTGCTCTGCCCTCTGCTATAGAGGCCTTTCATCCAAACTGGCCTGGGAAATACGAAACATCAGCATAGTATGCTGTGACATACTTTGTTGCTTTGTACATAAACACTGTGCATGTCGTTAACACAGGGAGCAGATTTTGTACAGTACTGGAAGGAGATTCAGTCAAGAAGTGGTAGATCCAGCCATTCATACACTGCACAGCACTAGTGTCCTGACTTCCCATATGGTAGGAAAGAGAGAAGAAAAATGGGAAAGATCACATATGGAAACAAGGAGGTTTCTCAGTGGCAGCCTACTGTTTTGCAACTAATAAAAAATGGTAAGACAGTGCCATCCAGTTGCATTAGCAAGAGTCGCATGGCTCCTCTTCCCCAGATTCCCGCTGAGTACCGCCGTTAGTGCATTCATCCTGCTGCAGTGCTGCCTGCAGAGCACGTTTACAGTCCTTTGGTGTAAATGACAGTGGTCCCATGGTTCTGTTTCATTAAATGTCAGAGAATCATTGTGAGATGTGTCATGGGACTATAGACCATGGACTATTCACTCTCTTGCTCCTGAAATGCAGCTAAGAGTTAAAACCAGAGGATTGTCATTTGTAGATGCTTATGACCTGCAGCAGTTTTCCATGGAAATTTGTCGTGTTTGTTTTGAAGCAGCCACTGACACTAGTTCCTCTTGTTGCATATATTAAAAAAGCAAGATTTAATGAATATAGGGTTTTCTTAAGATGTGTTAGTAATATTACAAAAGCAGCCAAAACCACTCAAAAGAAGCAGTTTTCTCCTTTGTTGAAATTAACCATATCTGAATCGTCAAGGTGTACATCCAGTACCAAAAATCAGTTGCCTCTTTGTTTTGAATCAGTGGATATTTTCCATGGCTTCTTTAAAAATCCAGCACAGCTTCTATTTCATTAAAGCAAACTACTATCACATCTTTTAACATAAATATCAAGTTAATTGTTTGTGTGTGCTAAGATGACAATTAACAATCACTATTTGCATTAATGTGATTTTTAAAAGTCATGCTTTTTGGTAAAACTACTTTAACTACCATTGTTTAGATTTAAAAGCCAGTGGGCCTTGTTAGGTTCGTTATAAAAGACATGGAAAGGCATAAGGAGGAGGAGTTGGTGTCTCTTCTAAAATATTAAAAGGTCTGTACCATCAGTGTCTCAGGATGACCTGTAATTTTTTGGCAAAGTGTATTACAAGAACTGCGTAACAGCTGGAGTAGCAGTGTTCCATGTAAGCAGGCCATCTTTCCTCTACTGCTGGGAGTGACTCTCTCCAGATGCAGTCTCTTCCCAGATAGGGTCGCTTTGAGTTTGAAGTAAAAAGAGAATTTTTCTGTTTGTCAGATGAGTAAGGAAAATAAATCCTGCTCTACTGATGGAAGTTTCTGCAGGGTGTTTATGCCCTTTAAAGATGTATTTCTTTACCTTTTAAATAGAAAACATTTCTAAGAAAATACAGGATAAACAATGCCCCAGTTACAGCTGGTATATCATGCTGCCTGTAGCCAAAAAAAAAAAAAAAATTATCTTATGACGTTGTGAAGTGATGAAAGGAATCTTCTTTCCTTTGGCTAGGAAATAAAGCAGAAATATCTCTGCAGAGAACATTTGAAGCTAGTTGTCTTTGAACACCTGCTTAGTTTTTGTCTCCTTTAATTCTTCAGTCTCCAAAATGCAGCAGTCCTGAGCTTGCCTCCTTGACATCTTGCTGCCCTCGAACAAGTCATTCTGTCCAACAGCAATCCACAACAGTTGTTCTGAAAGACAAATACTTAACTTCTGTGGTATGGATGAGAAATCTTCTCTTTGCCTTTTTAAAACAGAGAGACTGGGAAACATAGTACTCTGAACTCTATTTTATTCACAGAATCATAGAATAATTTAAGTTGGAAGGGACCTCTGGGGCATGTCTCGTCCAACCTCTTGCTCAGAGCAGAGCCCATATGGGTTTGCTCTGTTGAGTTTTGAGTATCTGCCAGGACAGAGATTTCACAGCCAACTTGAGCAACGTGTTCCAGTGCTTGCCCTCCTTCCCAGTGGAAAATAATTTCCTTGTGTCTAATCATCATTACCCATGCTGCAACCTTTCCCATGCTGCAACCTATGCCTGTTGCCTCTCATCTCTTCCACATAACACGTCTGAGAAGAGTCCAGTTCTGACTCTGCTGGAGTCACCTGCCCATGAGGTGGTTGGGACAGCAATAACAGCCTTCTCTTCTTAAGGCTGAGCTAAGCAATTCTTAGCATTTCCTTGTAGACCATGTGATGCTCCAGCCCCATATCATCTGGGTAGCCTCCCACTGCACTTGCTGCAGTATGGTAATGTCTTTCACTTAGTGGGAAGCCCAAAATTTGGCACAGCACTCCAGACACGGTCTTACAAGCCCCAGATAGGGGGACGTAATTGTTTGCTGACTAGACTTGTTAACGCAGCCCAAGAAGTGATTGATGATCTTTGCTGCAAGGACACACTGCTTCAAGAAAAAAAAATGTGTGTAGATAAAGTGGGATGTGTACCTCTTGGCCTGTTGGTCATTGATTTGAATCTGGTTGAATGTTGTCAAATCTGGTTAAAGGCAACTTCTGTTGGATGACCATTTAGTACCATATGTGAAACTAGCAGTTGGTTTTGAGATTCACCATCGCCATTTCTTTACTCTTTGTTTATTTATAACAAATCAGTAGAATCTAAAAGCTCTGTAGACTCTTATCAAGGTTGCTAATCCAAATATGGAATATCCTTTATGAATGTGCCTAAATATTTAATAAAAAAACCTCAAACATTAATGCTACAAAGTAGCAGGAGGAATGTGAATACAATTTTATATATGGTATGGCCTAGACAACACAGGTGTTCTTTTGTTACTCGCACTCTACTCCAGGAAATAATTTATTAGTTTTAATGTCTTACTGGCTCATAAGCAGACAGATGGGACACACAAGCATACTCTTTTGGTTTTAGGGTGCACTTAGGTAAGTCAGTGAACAGAGAAGTGAAGTTCTCATCTGTTCCTACGTGTAGGGCCAGACCATGAACAGACTATATGGTTGTATGGCCATTGTCCCAAAACTACTTCTGTATTTTATCCAGTAGATTTTAACATGAGACATGGAAGCAGTCTGGTCTTGAACCCCGATCCCGCTTTTCATAGAAAGTGCCTGCTGGTCTGGGTTTTGGTTCTGTTCTTGGCCCAGCAATCCTCAGAGGGCTGAGTAGAAAATGCCCCTACTCCAGCTATTTGATGCTTGTGGTTGTCTCCTGAAGGGTAGGAAATGGAAACCTGAAAACAAGGTGCATCAGACATAAAACTTTGGGGTTCTGAGCTTCATGTGTACCAGGCAAAACTGTCAAGCCTGGTCAATATCTGTGAATATATTGAGGAAAACAGAAGGTGCTGAAAAAAACAGTGTTGGTATGTTGTGGGGCAGGAAGACACATGTCACTTCCGATCTGAGTCTTGACTTAGCTGCACTATTGCAAGACTGTTCTCTAAGCTTAAGTTAAATAGCTTAAGAGACCCTCAATAATTTTTCAGATTCTTGGGCTTTAGTGCCAATGCTCTGAACAAAAGCTTATAAGTTAAAATGCAGTATTCCGGCAGTTCAACTAGAGAAAAGTGTGTCAAAGCAATCTGTATTTTGACTTGCATTCTGTTTTAGTTATTGAATGCCATTCTGAAGAAGGTTGTGTTTTAATGATGGATGAAATTGTTCCTACAAGTGGAAATGTGTTTGATGCACAAATTGATGCTATGTAAGTAGAGACTAAAAGACCAAATTTCTTTATTTAGAAGAAATTAATGAGGGAGCTTAATTAAAGTTTATAAAGTAAGAAATTAAAGCGGTTCATTTTGCTTTTCTGTTTATTTGCCTCAAAAATTAGCTGCTATCCAAATAAAATTTAAAAATAATACATCTAAACTGGATAACACGGATTTTTTTCCTATGTACTTAGTTTGTGAAGTTCATAAAATCATTGGAGCTCAAAAATTGAGAGAAAGCATGAAAGTATAACTGTAATACAACTAACAGTACAGCCAGCGGCTTCAATTAGGGTGTTTTGCATACAGCAAGGCTACTGAAGCCTGGTTTTCTATGGAGTTATATCCTGTATTTCTTTAATAACTAGCTCACTACTTTTTCTTTTCCTTTTACAACCCCAGCTGAGATAGAGATAGTATGCAGCCTGGTTAATCCAGACTGGTTTGCCTCAGTGTATGCTTATTTGCATTGCCCAGTTGATTCTGCAAAGGTCATAGAGAAGAGGTAAGTTTTTGAGGACTATAAATTGTCCATTACCTAGGATGATCTCTAACTGGAAAGCTGAGGAAGGAGTTTGCCATATGAGCAGCCATTTTTTCATTTTGGAGTTCCTTGAACTTTGTTTGGAAACATTAAATAGCAGATTAGTATGATTTTTGTAGAGTGATTCCTCTGCCTAGGGTTTGACACGAGGTTTGCAATTGTTTTGACTTCAAGGCAGTCTGTGTGTCTAAGGGCTTATACAAGACAAGCGTGTAAATGGATTGTGTCCTTGTGTTAGATTTCTCCCCCGTTCCAGATTTTGGTGCTACGAGTAAGTTGTAGTACATATATGCAATCATATATGCTTAAACTAAGCTCCTCTGATCTTTGACCGCTTTAAAGATATTTTTTTTTAGGAGCTATTTTCTTTCTGTTTACGTCTCAATATGTACTTATGTGAGTATTACTAGGTAGGCTAAACCTTTTTAATGAGCTTTAGCGAATCGGCAGAGTTTGCTTCAAGACACGTGGGCTCTACCATCTCACAAAGTTGTGCCTCAAGGAAGGGGGAAGAAACAGTTTTTCACACTGCCAGTGTACCTCTTCTCACCTATCCCCACCTTCGCTGTAGAGCTGTGGTTATATGGCTGATTGCCATTCGTTAGACGAGGTGTTGAATTAGCTATGCAATGCATTTATGCTTCAGGGCAAGTTCCTTTCCAGCGCACAGTGTGAGGTTCTAACTGAAGTGGAGAATAAAATTTTTATGAACTGGGACTTGAACACTCAAGTACGGTAATATGCTTTCAGCTAATTTCATCTTTAAATACGGATAATGAATCCACTTTGGTTTGTATTCAGATAATAAATGTCATTCATTCTGTATGAATGCAAGTATCTACATAAAATGGGTGATTTACAATTTGTTCATGGATTAGGTATTTTTTACATTATTTAAAATAGATAGATAAGGTTATACTAATGTATTTGTAAATGAATTGGGGCATTGGGTTGTGTGTTGGAGGAAAACAACTTATAAAACCCTGTATAATTTGTTATGGTAGATACCTGTGTTCAAGAAAAGCCCTTTTTTAAAAAGCCGATACAGGGATGTAACCCACCTATGAAAGACAGGTGGAACACATTGAAGATCATTAAATGCTGCCATGCTTTTGGTATAATCAAATCCCCAAGATCTGCCTGGCCTTGGTTCGCAGGCTCTGGCATGAGGCATTAGGCTGGAGTTGGTCTGGGGACACCTGTAGTTTAGTGTGGAGAAACGTAACGGTGTTTCATGACAGTCTCATGATGCTGTTCAGGAAAAAATAATTTTTTAAAAGCCCTTAATAAATATGATTACTATTTAGACCTTCAGATAAATTGAGATACTGGGAAAAAACCAACATGTTTGGTTTGACATATTTGTTCATATTATGTCATCACAATTTAACCTGTCATTTATCCAAGTTTTTTAGGTGCCAAATCTTTCCAGCAGCTTGCCAGGAAATGTCTGTTATTCCATGAAAACATTTTCTTTCTTACGTGATGTATCTCTAAACCATTGTCAAATTCCCTAGCCTTACCGAGATTGAGTTTGCATGGATATAGCTCAGTATGATAAAGTTTAATACATTCTATTTTACTGACAAAATTTGCATTTGTCCACTGTAACAAACATAATTCATAATCATATGCTGTGTAAACAGAAACCTGTATTACAAAATACAAGAGTTCAATGTGTGTGTTCCTGTGCCTGTTTCCAAAAACAGGGTGGAATGGGTGTTCATAAAATCCAGGTTTTGACTGCAGAAAACGAGAGCACAAGCAGCTGGTCTGCCAGTTCTGCACGGAAGCTCTCAGGCTGTGGCTTAGATATGAAATGCCTGGATATTTAAAAATGTAGGGTTTGGGTTTGTTTTTTAAATTAAGTGTGCCCTTTGGAGCGCCAGCATCTTTCAGGTGATAAAGTAATGGGTGATGTAGTTTAAATTACCCACAGTTTTGTTGTAGTGGAGAGCCAAAATGGAGCGGCTGAGAATATTGCAAGAGCTTTGTCTGACAGCTTCGGTTCTTGCCTTTACCTGGGAAGGGGCGGTGGGAGCCCTGTGCTCTCGGAGATAATTTGGCACCAGCTCTGCCGAAACCCACCCCATTGTGCTTGTGTTTTCTGACAGCTGCAGGAAGCGATCAAGGCCGGCAAAGGTGTGACTTCTGCCATCGACCTGTGCCGTCAGCACGGAAGCAGAGCTCTGGCAGCCCTGGAGTGCTTCCCTCCCTCCGAGGCCAGGGCTGCCTTGGCCAACATCGTTTACGCCGCGACCAGGTTTCCCTGACCCACCGCCCCGGGAGGAGCTGCTGTCCCTCCATGGGCAGGAGCATCCCAGCGGGGACACCAATGATGCCCCACACCGCTGGTCACCTCATCCCCCTGTTCTGTCCTGACGGAGGAACATGCACCAGCTGCCGCCACCACCAGCAAAATTCGGGAGGGGGAAGAAACAAAGGTCATAGCCAGCTTTTGCTTGTCATGCCAGAAGCGCACTTGAGGCTGCACCGGTAGAAATAATTAATGAGTCCCGTTTCTGTGACCTCAGCAAATGGACAGGAAATAAGTCGGTATTGATTGGGCACCGGCGGGGACGGCGCCAGGGCGGAGGCTGGTGGTTTTCCTGCCCGAGGGAGGGATGGAGGGGTGTGAAGATCCAGGTGTCACAAGAAACCTGCTCAAACCTGCCCAGAGAGAGCGAGCCACTGAAACCAGGAATTAACATACCCGCTTATCAATGGGAAGGGGCAGTTTGTGGATTAATGGGGGAAAATCCTCTCTCTGTCTGCATGCAGTCATGTCTCCTCTCACTGTTTTTATGTATTCATATGTAAAATTACCCTGTGCCTAATGCTTTCCGTATTTGAGAAAATGTGTCAAGCATGGTAAGTAGGAGCTTTAAAATATTTAATCAAATATTAATTTGGCTCTGATAAGGGAAGTGTCTGCCTGGGTTTTATACTATGTGTATAAAATATGTTGCTCTGGGTCAAAGAATGAGGTTTTTCCAACTCTCCTGGGGGAGGGAATATCCTTCCTTCAGATCAAGCAGTTTGTTTCAACACAGTCTTACACAAAAGAATTTCCTAGGTTTGTGACACTTGCGTTTATTTAAGCCAAATAAATGTTAATTTGTAAGGCTAGACGTTGGCCTTTGGCAGGAAGGAAGAAAGAACGCTCTTCTGTGAGTACAGTCTTTCACCGCATTGAATAAAATTCAGAAAATACTGGAGAAGTTTTGAACCTCAGTGTGTTGAATTTTAAAGTCCAATTACAGACAGCATATAAGGTATATCAGAAGCCTGCAATTTGAGACTGTCTCTGTTTTGTTCATAGGAGATGATTTTTGTGGTTTGCATGCATGCAATCTGAGAACACCGTTGACAAGAAGGCTGAGTTTACATAAATGATCTAGATTGAGACTTAGCTACCTTTCTTCCTTCTGTGGTGTAATTACAGCCCAATCTGGAGACAGCTAGCACAGCAAACAGATTTCATTACATCTCTCACTCAAACACTAAGTGGAGTTATTTCTGTTAAATTCTCTCCTTCCTCCTTCTCCCCCTGCACTCCTTCCCCCTGTCACACAGCTTGTTTGTCATAGACCAGCGTGTTGCATTCCACTGAATGCAAAATATAAATAAAAACTCTATCCTCTAAAAATATACTGAAAATACATCCTGCATAATGTACATAATATTCTGTGTAATATATGCCTATATTATACCATAATTTTATATGTATAATAAGCACCCTTGAGCCACAATATATGGAAGCAGCATCCAGAGCTCAGGACTTACTTTGTTCTGGAGAATGATTTCAACATCAGACCGCTTCTTGCTTACGCTTTCTTTCTCATGCCTGCCCTGGCATTATCTGTCTTCCCAAGACTCTGGCACTTCTGCCTGAGTTAGTGCTGTTGCTGCAGCGGGAAGGCTGGAGACAGAAGAGGAGTGCTGAGAAGCGTGGCCCAGGCAGTGGCAATCACAGGCTTCTGCCTTAGCTAACCACTGTACATTTTCACCTGTGAAGTTCCCTGAAGTTCTGCTAATGTAAAACATGTGCTTGAAAGAAATACCAACATTCAACAAGAGTCACATTTCAGCTTTTTTTGGCTCTGGTTAGAAGCCATACGTTGTCTTTTCTTTCTCTTACATCTATGCTAAGGGGTTCATAATGATTTAGGGCTGTAAGAAGCTTGGGTCCGCTGGAGATATTCTGAGCCATTTCACCCCAGTCACCTCAGTATGCGAAAGAAATAACAAACATATTGCAACACTGTGTAAGCCTGGTTTACTTTTTCATTAAAGTACAATTTTTTATTTGTACTTTTACTAATAAAGACAAATCAGCAAAAATTTGTGACTTCTTTTGTATTTTATCACCAGAAAGTTCTGATTGCTCTTAAACTATTCTTTATTGTTAATTTGAAAAAAAATGCCTTTTACCAATGTTATAAAGTAATCTTATATTTAAGATACTTGCCTGTAATTATTGAGTAATGTTTGTTGTCTTGTTTCCTCCAGGTAACCTATAAGCAAAGTATTATACCCCTCTGTCAAACTCTTAGTGAATTAATCATTGCTGTGTATTAGTATACTCCCAACACCTCATACAATTTCTGAGCAGTAGGGGAACCTTAAGGCTGTTCTGGTTTTATTTTTATCTCCTTGATTTGTTTTCCCCACCTACCTCTGTAAGGAGGTCAGGGAGAAGGATGCCTGCGGTGTAGGGGGGTGGCTGGGGAAGGCATTCACACCATCTACTTCAGTCATCCAGCTGCTCAACCAGACATACCCATCAGCTGCTCCTCTGAACTTATCCCAGGTATTGTATTGCTGGACCATTGCACGGGTACACAAAATACAGGACAGGGTCCCAATTGCTTTTTAAACCAAACTGAATTCATCTCCTACAAAGAGCGCAGCTGCGCTGGCTAGAATGTCTGTTTCACAGGTCTGCGAGGGAAAGTCATTTAACTGCCAGCTGAGTATTTCCAGCTCCACAATTGTGGTAACACTGTATAGGAAGGTCATTTGGAAAATGAGGTACTTAGAATAGAAATATTGTCTGGAAGGGACTGCTGAAGGTCACATAGTGAAATCTCCCATTTGAAGTGGACTGTTGCCAACATGAAGTCTGGTCTTGGAAACCACCAGGGGTGGAGCTTCCACGGGTTCCCCTTGACCTGTCCCAGTGCTGCTCCACCTTCCTTGTAAAGGAGTTTTCCTGATGTCTAGCATGCACCTCCCTCACCAGAGCTGGTGGCTGTTGCCCATTATCTACCACCTGCCACTGCCAAGAATTGTTTGGCTCCGCTGGCTTGCTAATTCCCTGTTCTGCAGCTGTGTGCTGCAGTTTGATTGCCTGATAGCCTCCTCTTACAGCTGGAGCAGCCCCAGCTCTGTCAGCCTCTCCTGGTGGCCATGTGTGCTAGGCCCTTCACCCTCCTGTGACCTGCCTAACTTTCATATCATCCCTGCTGGGCTGTGAGCCCAAAACAGGCCAGTTCAGGAGCAACCTCCTCAGGAAGAGAGCAAAAATTTACCCTGATGTACTGGGTCTTGCTGGGATGGAGTTTCCTTCATAGCATCTCATCTGCTGCTGTGTTTCGGATTTGTGACCAAAAGAGCATTGGTAAAGCACTGATGTTTTTCCCTATTGCTCAACAGTGCTGGCTGAGCACCAGGGCTTTCTCTGCTCCACACTCTGATGCCCAGTGAGCGGATTGGGTGTGGGCAAGGGGCTGGGAGGGGGCACGACCAGGACAGCTAACCCCAACTGGCCACAGAGAGATTCCACAGCATGTAACATCCCACTCAGCAGTGGAAACCAGGGGTGGAGTGTGGGGTGCTCCAGGGGATCCATTGCTCGGGGACTGTCTGGGCATCAGTTGGCTGGTGCGGATTGCTTTTGCATCACTTGTTTTTCTTCATTTTGTTTTGTTTTCCTGTTTTTTGCTTATTAATCTGTCTTTAACTCAATAAACAATTTTTCTTATTGTTGCCCTTCTGATTCTCTCTGCCATCCTGCTGTGGGGGGCAATGAGTGAGCCACTGTGAGGTGCTCAGCTGCCATCCAGACATTTGACCGGAGTGTGCTAGAGGGAACTTTCTATACCTGTTTAGCTGTTGCTAGTCATGATGTTGACTTATTTGTTCTTGATGTGGTTTTATTTGTTCCCTTACCCCCTCCACATTACAGTCCCTCTCTTGCTGTACATCAAACCTGAGAGCTTATTAAAGGCTGTGTTTGGCTTTTGCAGTTTGCTGTGCTGTGTAGCACTCAGTTGTGTTTTGCCTGGGAGAACTATGATGAAAGCACTGGCCCTGAGCCTAATATGGTATTTGGGCCCTGCATTGCTGCCATCCCAGTACTTCGGGAACCATCTCGTGGAGACAATTAACAATTACACTTTTTCCCTCTTTTCCTCTGAGAGCCAATTTGTGGAGGAAACAAAGAACAGCACCTTCCCCTTCATCTCCTGAAGGATAGTTGCTTTCCACCTTGTTACAATGACTTCAGTATTTTGAACATCCCTGGGCAATCAGAATGCTCACACTGGTGTGTCTCGAGAATGTGTTTTCTGGCTTTTCCTAAGGTTAACTGACTCTTTAGCAATATCACACAGGGATGTGCCCTGGGGCAGTGTGGTCGTGGGTGGCACAGTGCATGGGAGAATATGGGCAGGGGTCTAGAACAGTTTTCACCTCTGATCGTGTGAGACTTGACCCCTGAACAAGTGCAGGATCCTGATAAAGTGACAGAGCATCTGAGAAAAGGATGCCCTGGCTATGCTAAAGGGATACAGCTTCTTGCACTGTGCTGGACTTGGCCTACACCTACGAAGCACCGTTCAGCACCTTCAGGGGGGGAGAGAGGGTCTCTGGATGTGAAGACATATAAATGGGCACTGTGGCTGAGCCACAGACCCAACTCTCAACTATATCAGTTGGTCCTAGAGTCAAGAAGAATCAATGGAAGCAGAAATCAACTTGTTTAGTCAGGGAGGAAGGAGCTTCTCCTAAGAGGGAGCAAGATGAGGGGTCAGAGAGGCAGCCCATTGTGCAGCAGAGCAGTCACAAGAACAGAGGGGGAAAGACACAGAAATCATAAATGAGCCAGAAACCACCCACTGTGTACCCCTAAGCGAGGTCCGAGATACGCACAAAGATTGTAGCCATCAACCTGGCGAGCTAATTATCAGCTGGTTGCTCCAATGCTGGGATACTGGGGCCAACAGTCAACAAAGGGATTGGAAAAGGGGCAAAGATTAGCAGCCTCTGG